TATTTTTTTTATACTGATACAGAATTTCTACCCCCTAAACATTAACTCCATTATTTTTGCTCAATACTACCTAAAAGTCGTAATGCTGCCTTCTACTTTAGGTGACCAAACTCTTATTTCCACTAAATTGGTCCCGAAGCACAATGAACTGAGTTGATAATCTTGTTTCAGATTTTAATGTAAAATTAAGGGGGGAAAAAAAAAGCTCTGTTTGTTTGTTTAAACTTAAAACCAGGGGGTGACTGTGGCAAAGAATGGAGAATTGGCTAATGTAGCTTGGCAAGAGCACCAGCTGTGCGAAGACTTTCACACAAGAGTGGGACAGAAACAAGACAAAGAACCACTCAGAAATGGAAAAAATATTCTGAGAGACAGAAAAAAATCATGGGAGATATTAAAGGGATGCAACAGAAACATATTAAGGACATAGGAAAGCTGTTAAGTCAGCCTTAAAATAGAATTTCTCTAGGGATTTTTATAGTACGTACATTTTCATGTCTTAAAAAAGGAAAGAAAAATCAATCATAACATATCTTGCTGAAGTGTTTAAAAAAAATTCACAGGAAAGACACAGGAATATTATTTAAAAAATTGAAAACCTGAATTCCTTAGAGCTGAATCATCTAAGCGTTTGTTTAGTTCTACCTGCTCGCAAATCCTGAGCCCAGTTTGCTAAGAGACTCAGAAGGAGAAAGTTTATTTGGATTAAAAATAGCAAGTTTTGGTTATCTGCTATCTTTTCATACTTCCCATAAAACCAAACACTTGGAAGCAGTACTTGAAATTTCCTTGGCCGGACTTTGGACCAAGATATTTTTGAAGTTATTTCAGATAAATGTTGAAACTGCTGTAGCTGCTCTTTTAATTTAAATAAGTTTTGATTCAAATTACAGGATTAACCAGTTTTTTGTTTTATTTGAGGCTCCATTTTGTGAACTTTCTCTACTGATGGCAATAAAACCATTCTATTTGGTTCTATAAAATATATCATAGACAGTATTTTCAGAAAGTCAGTCTTTAGCAGATGAGCCCCTGTGCAAATGCTATACACTAATAGAGAGAACAGATCAAAGACTTAAAGTCTGTAGTAATAGCATCTCCCACAAATGTGCAGAAAACAGTTAAAAGCCTTGAGGTAGTTAGAAGCTCCACCAAAGCCCTTTATAATGTTCAGAAGCTGAAAAAACTAGATTGTGCCTGCTATACCTCACCTGCATTACTACTCTAATGTTATGGAAATAAGAGCACCCTTTCCTGACACAGAAATCACATAATTTTCCAATTAGTTTCTCTGAAAGCAACTTTATGAGTGACATGACCAGCCTCTAACACGGTCCCTGCGCAAGGGTGACATGCAAATTTGTGAAGCAAATTAACCTTATCCCAGCCAAAACCAGCACAATGAGGTATGAACTACTTCACATTTCATGCACTTCTGAAGTGAGGACACAGTTCCAAAAATGAAGTGCAATTTGAGACTGGCCATACTTAACACACGGCAGCTAAGAGAGGGGTTTGTTTCTGAGAGCAGGTCAGAAAGCATTGTCAGACTTCTGTTTCTCTTGGAAGTTCAAGAAATACACTTGCTTCAAGTGTAACTATCAGAAGTACAGAGCCCAGCTTTGTCTCCTTAATCAGCATACTAATTAGCAGGCAATTTTAGCACACGAACATTTTTTTCTTTGCCATTTACATGGTAAGCAATACAGTCAATTAACTAATGTTAACTTGTGTTATGAGTGTTCAACATAAGGAAGGTTAGAAGCACATGACACAAGTCAGTTTACACAGAGCACTACTAAAACAGCCACCACACAAGATGTCGTGGGTTTTTGTGGCTGGGTTTTTGGTCGTGGGGGGGCCATAGGGGTGGCTTCAGTTAGAAACTGCTAGAAGCTTCCCCTGTCCTATGAGGAGCCAATGATAGCCAGCTCGAGGATGGACTTGCTGCTGCAGGCTAAGGTTGAGCCAATTAGAAGTGATAATATATTTAAGAACTATATCTGTGATAACATATTTAAGAAAAGAGGGCTGTTGTGCAAAAGAAAATTCCAGGCTGGAAAGAGCAGAGGGATAACAAGCAGATTCTCAAGGTCAGTGAAGCAGGAGGGGGGAGGAGAGCCCAGGGGCCCCCCTTTCCTGCTCCAGCAGGCAAAAGACTGAGAGCCAAGGACCTGCTGCTGGTGGAAGACCATTGGGGTGTGGAGATCCCCTTGCAGTTCAAGGAAGAGCCCATGCTGGAACTGGTGGTTGCATGAAGGAGGCTGTGACCCTGTGGGAGGCCCAAGGATGGAGCAGAGTTCTGCAGGAGACCTGTGGTCCGTGGAGAGGGAAACCCACACTGGAGCAAGTTTTTCCTGGGTAGGACTTGTGGCCCTGTGGGGGACCCATGCCAATACAGCTCATCTGTGGAAGAGTGACCCACTGAACAGCAGACTGGGAAGAACTGCTGCCTGAGGGATGGACTCACGCTGGAGAGGTCCATCAAGGACTGTATCCCATGGGAGGGACCCCCATGGGAACAGGGAAAGGACTCAGTGATGTGGTTCCCCTGTAGCCCGTGGTGAAGACCATGGTGATGTAGCTGTCCCCCTACAGACATGGAGGAGTAGCCCTCAGGACAACAGAATGGGAAGAGCTGCTGCCAGAGGAATGGACTAAAACAACACCCTGACTGCAAAAAACCCCCTTCCCCCTGCACCGCTGGGGAAAAGGAAGAATAGCTGAGAAAGAAGGAGGGGTGCTGGGGAAGGTGTTTTTTAAGACTGTTTTATTCCTCACTCTTTAGCTCTTATCTTATTAGCAATAAATTTAAGTATTATCCCCAATCTGACTTGTTTTGCCTTTGAAAGCAAGTGACTTCTCCCTAATCCTTATCTCTTCTTAGGAATTCTTTAGCTGTTTTTTTTTCCCTCTGCTCTGTGGACTTGCAGCAGGAGCTGGGGGAAGGGGGCAGGGCAGGGGGGTGATGTAGCAGCTTGACCCAACAAGGGTCAAACCACTACACAGGATTTCACTGAAGACCACAGGAACCCGGCTGAAATGAAACACGGAAACAATGCCAACACCTAAGGATACAAGCTTCCCAAGTGAGACACTTAGGTGAAAGTCACAAAAGGATTTGTGCTGAGGGAAGGAGGGCAGAGAAAGGCTGGTGTAGCACTGACTCATTCCTAATATGTCACTTCTGACAACACACCGCTCACATCGCTTCTGGGGACAGGCATGGAAATGTCATTGACTGTGTGAAAGCAGCGGGTGAGGAACAAGTTGCCAAAAGATCAATTTACAGAAACACAAAGGGATGATAAACCTGACAGCTTCCTTTTGTATTTAGTAATTCTCCTCTGCAGTTTTGCTAACAGAGGAGGATGCCTGATGAACATATTCATCATACAAGTGATGTAATTCAGCACAGATTTGATGCTGTAAAGCTGTGCGTTAGAACCCAAACTTCTTGAAAGCACTCTTTCTATAAATACTTTCAAGTTGGCAAAGCAGAAAGTATGTAAAACATACAGCCTGTTATAAAAACCTTTCTTTTAACTTAATTCAATGAAACGATACTAATATAAACAAATTAAGAGCAACATTTTTTCTCTAAACAATACAATTAAACAATTAACATTTAACATTAAATTAGAAACAGCTCCAACAAAAGGTTAGTACCTTCATGTGAATTCCCTTTCTTAAATTCTTACTATGCAAATAGTTCTGCCTCAGTCCTTGAAATTTTTTAAACAAATCACACCCCAAAATTTTATAAATTAAGGAAAAGGTACCTTAACATGAAATGCTGTGTAATGAAGAGAATTACATGTGAAAGAAAATACAAACATAGTCATGGAGACAATTTGTTTTGTCTCACCCCTGTATCTCTCCCCCACATGATAGCTACATAACATCTAATTAAAAGAGGGTTAAAATGCAGGTAAAAAGACAGTTCAAATCAGTCCTCTCTTAAGAGCTCAGAGTGACTCTAGAGGAC